TGTCTGCATAAATATCTAAAGATTTTAACTATATTTTCATTTATATTTCTTATCAAAGTATAATAATTTATTTATAGATTCTAAGGTTTTCAAAAATTGTTCCAAAGTATAACTAGAAAAAATTCTAGAAGAAAAAGATACTTCAACAGAGAGGAAAAAAAAAAAAAAACCAGAGAGGAAGCGCACATTGGATATCCTAAAAAAAAAAAAAAAAAAATCTTTGGGTAAAATAAGGTCTTTATATTCTAGATTTTAATGATAAAAGTATTTTCCTAAATAAAAATATTTTTATATCATTATCTAACCAGATGATATAAAGAAAGTTAAAACAATTAAAAAAGAGATTTATTTGTAGTGGACTGACTATAAAAATGTTAAATGATTAATTTAAGGATATTTCAGGCTATTTTCCTAATTCGACTATACTGATGTAAGCTAAGATTTTTTTCCATATTTTGACATGATAAAAACCTATTAAAATGTTAAGTTTATTTCCTTAAAGGAAGGTCTTTATTGCCTAACGATTCTTATTGTTTAAGACAAAGATTAATTTTGGTAAATAAATTCACATCCTTGATTAAGCACTAAATATATTGAACTACTGACTTAGATCCCAATTTTGATAATTGTCCTTGGAGACTAAATTTGATTGATTCAAAGACACTTTGATTCTTACATTTTGTTTATTAGAACTGAGTTCTCCAAATTAAAGTTGTATGTTACTTTTGAGCAATAAAGGTTACGTAAGTTCTCTGACTGTCCTATTGACCATAAAAAATACAGTATGATTTATATAGTGCTCCCTACACTGGGAAATAACCTTAATCATATTTTTTAAAAGACAATTGAGGGGCTGGGGATGTGGCTCAAGCGGTAGCGCACTCGCCTGGCATGCGTGCGGCCCGGGTTCGATCCTCAGCACCACATACATACAAAGATGTTGTGTTTGCCGAAAAACTAAAAACAAAATAAATAAATATTTAAAAAAAAGACAATTGAAAGATACCTATTTAAAGGATAGTATTCTAAAATATTTTGAGACCTTCTCTCAAAAAGAGATTGAGGGTTCTTTCTAAATTGTTAGGCTGAATCTACTAGTCTATATTGGAAAATTATAATAATCAATAAAAGATAAATCTATTCTTATCATTTAAATACTTGTACTATTATCTATAACTTAAACTAATGATACTACGACTTATGCCAAGTCTTTTTTTTTAAACTTTATTATTTATTTATTTATTATTTGTATGTGGTGCTGAGGATCGAACCTAGGGCCTTGCGCGTGTGAGGCGAGCACTCTACCACTGAACCACAACCCCAGCCCTATGCCAAGCCTTTACTCAATTTTATTAAATAAAGAAAAGGGGGAATACAGGACCCCAGAGAGACACTAGATTTCACAAATATTTTAAAATTTTTTTCTTAAATTGTAATATTGACAGTCTTAATGTTACTGAACATGATTCAGTAAATTAAATCAGATATCAAAGGAGAGTTTAAACCAGTCATCATGATCATGACTGAGAAACCTGCCACAGAAAGGTAAATTTCCAGCTACAGAATTTATAGCCATGCAGCTTCACAAGCTTGTCAGGTAAGTAAAAATTATGAAAAGACTTGTATGGACCCATTTCCCAGGTCCACCTTTAATGTGCCTTATAGTGTGGACTGGAAAGTCCACTCATATAACTAGATTAATTGTACTATCTATAATGATCAATTATATATTGATTATATAGTAAACAGGCTGTCTGGAAGTATCTTTTGAGAAAAAGTGTTGGAATAAACCAGATGTTAAGTAACACCAACTAAGGGCTAGTTCTCTGTGAGGGATCATGCCCTGTGGCTCAGTGGTCGAGTGCCCCTGAGTTCAACCCTGGTACCAAAAAAAAATAAAATAAAATAAAACTATTTAAAATTTTTAATCTATAAACTTACAATGAAGCAAATTATTAGCACTGCTCTCCTCTTCATCTATCTGTGTCTCTCAGCTTTGTCACAATATTACTTTTGTCTATCTATGGCCTTTCTCCTTCCTTCCTGAACGCAGCCTCACCAGCCCAGTGCTGTGAGCTGGACCCTCCATGGAGAAGAACCCTGAGTTTGCTGATCCTAAAGTAAATTCTGGTATGGAGACCACAGGGGCATTATCTATCAAGGAGACAGAGAGCCCTTTCGGAGACAATGCCTTGCACACTCCATATCACCCTGTTTGGCCCCTGAGGATGGCTGGTTAGTCAATGAGGGGTAAGATTCCTCAAGTGAGGGACAACCTAAGACAGGCACAGTTGCAGAGGGGCCATCAGGAGAAAACTTAGGGGCCAACAGAGGTGAGGCACAGAATCTTACTCCCCCACCTGTACAAAGGCATAATTCTTCACCCCTTCTGAGAGAGGTCTCCTGCCCCCATGACTGCTTTGCTCCCTGCATCCAGCTTAGCTCTGAACCCAAGTGACAGACAGAGACTTAGTTAACAGCGACTGCCCTCTCACCACAGCAGGAAACAACTGCAGCTACAGGAAAGGGCCATGTCTCTCTCTTCCTTAAGGTCAGAGGAGCCATCACAGCGACCCCAATGAAAAAGGTATTTGTGTCTCTTGTGTGGTTATTTCGGGCAGCCCAGTTAGCCCAGTTCAACTGGAGTAACCCCTAAGCCTTTTAGTCTTGAGAACAGAAACCCGGCACTCACTAAATTGTTATGCTCCTGACTCAGCCTCCCAAATAGCTGGGATTACAGGCATGCACCATCATCCCTGGCAATAATCTGCCATTTTAAGCATTTCTCCATCACTTCCATCAGCAAAACAGTTAATCAAGCTCTGATTTGTAGTGTTTGCCAATTTGTGGCTGATTTCAAGTGACTGACATGATGTCATTGAATAGGGAGATGGCAAGAGATGTACCATAGCATACCATTATATAGCATTTCCCCCATACAGATGCAACAGGTATGAATAATCTCAAGGACATAGATAATAGTAAGATGTAGTAAGATAATTAGGAAGTAGTGAAGTATCTTTTTCTTTAAATAATTTTTGTGCTGGGAATTGAGCCCAGGGTCTTGTGCATGTTTAGCATGCACTCTACCACTGAGGCATAACCTCAGCCCCAGGAAATAATAAACTTTTAGTATTTATCACATTTGTATTTATATAATTTGCTTCATTGTAAGTTTATAGATTAAAAATTTTAAATAGTTTTAATTAATTTTTTTTGAGAATTTTAACATTTATTCATTTTTTCTTAGTTCTTGGCGGACACAACATCTTTGTTGGTATGTGGTGCTGCTGAGGATCGAACCCGGGCCGCACGCATGCTAGGCGAGCGCGCTACCGCTTGAGCCACATCCCCAGCCCCTAATTAATTTTTTTTTGATACCAGGGTTGAACTCAGTTGCACTCGACCACTGAGCCACATCCTGAGCCCTATTTTGAATTTTATTCAGAGACAGGTAGGGTCTCATTGAGTTGCTTAGCACCTCACCAATGCTAAGGCTGGCTTTGAACTCAAGATCCTCCTGCCTCATCCTCCCAAGCCACTGGAGTTACAGGCATGCACCATTGCACCTGGCTGCTTTTAGTTTAGTTTGGGTTTTTTTAATATTTATTTTTTAGTTATAGGTTGACACAATAACTTTATTTTATTTTTATGTGGTGCTGAGGATCGAACTCAGTGTCTCATGCATGCTAGGTGAGTGCTTTACCTCTGAGCCCCAGCCCCTGTTTTTAGTTTTTAATAATGGCTATTTTTAACAAGTGGCTCTGAAAATTCAACAACTGGCTCTGACAAACTGGTATAAGTCAGTTACAGCACACCACTGTATGTCATGCTTCTTGGCCCAGAAAGCTGTCCTGGCCCTACAGAGTATGCTGCCTCAGTACCCCTCATGTGGGCCCTCCTTCTCCACCTGCTTCAGCTGCTGAAGCAGCTGGGGAGCTGTTTCCTCTGCTTCCACCCCAATCTCTTTCACACACTACTGAGCAATTCCCAGAACTCAGGTTGAATTGTGTCAGTTTCTCTTCAAAACCTTTTGTTCAAATGCACTGCCTGTGGAATCAAGCCCAAATTCTTTGGGCTCCTTGCAAGCCTTCCTCATGGTGATCCTAAGATAAAAGGACAACATGATAGTTCCCATCCCCCAATTAATTGTTGCCCATCCTATCTTCTTTCTTGGATGTGAGACACATGGTCAATTGCCACCTGGACATCTCCTCTTGGATGGTCCCCAGATGTCTCCAACTCAGCATATCCCAAACAGAATTCATTATTTTCTTCCCTTATCCTGCTTGCATGATGCTTCTATATCTGATTTTCTTTTCTTTTTATTATTTCTGTTTTTCTTTTAGGATCTCAAATTCACCTGTTCCCTTCTATCTTCAGATTCTTTGGACACTACTATTTCCTCCTAGAACATTTTCCTTCCATTCTAATCCCTGCTTGTTCTCTCTCCAATTTTTTTTTTTCCGATTGACTTTCACTAATTCTTAAGATCTCAGCTGAGATGTTGCTTCCAATGGAAAGTCTCTGGGAAGGTAGAAGCCCATGCACAGTTTTCCTATTCTTCCCATCATAGACTTTGCACACCATATTAAAATTGATTCTTTACGCAGGGCACAAGTGGCACATACCTATAATTCCAACTACTCAAGAGGCTGAGGTGGAAGGATCCCAAGTTTGAGGCCAGCCTCAATAATTTAGTAAGACCATGTCTAAAAATAAAAAGGGCTGTAGATACAGCTCACAGGTAGAGTGCTTCCTAATATGTGTAAGATCCTGGTTCAATCCCCAGTACCACAAATAACTACATAAATAAATAAAATCAACTATTTAATTGTCTGTCTCAAGGAGAGTGTGAGGTCCAAAAGGCTAAGCTTGTTCATGGCTCTAGCCCCAGCACTTGACCCACCCACTGGCACATGTGTGTACTGCCAAACAGATGAATGAATAGGAGATACATCCTGTAGTTCCCCTACAACCTTCCCTTTCTTCTACCTGGTTTTCTTACTCTTCTGCCAGCATACCTAGTATTTTTTTACTTCTGAAAACAAAACAAAACAAAAAATCCATACTTTTTATTTGTGCTTAAGGGGACAAAGTCAGAAAATGCCACATTCTGAAATTGGAACTAATAGAATCAGCATTGAATAGATGAGATCAGCCATCTGCAAAATAATCCACTTTAAGGGTTCATTTGTAAATATGATACCAATGAGATAGGGGGCTCCTCAGGTCTCTATGGTGAACAGCATGATACTGCAGGCTGGGAATCTGCCAGATATAAAGAAAGTGATAATGTTAATCAATTGTAACCTGATTGCAAGAGGTAATACTGTATAAACAGGAGGGCCCTTGTCTGCATGGGGTCTTGAAAAGAGTTAAGACAAAGAGCAACACATTTCCTGTGTTCATCATTAAGTGCTACATGTAGCCCTTTGCAGTTTACAAAAAAAACCTCCATATTTCTCCATAAAGACCTCCAGGGGATTGAGGCTTATTTGCCATTTTATAGAGAACAACAACAGCAATAACCCCTCACACATTCTCTGTAAGCCCACAGTGGATGAGCCAGTTGTGAACTGGACAGAAATACCTCTAGGGCACACAGAAAGTTCTCACAGAGATCAGGTAGCCAGTCCATCCACTTTAGTTCAGTCTCATTCTGTGCTCAGCAGCTTTTGGCTTTTAAGAAGTTTACCTCCTTGGAATGTGGGGGTTAGGACACGCTGAAGGGAAGTAGGTTGGGGGTAGTGCTGATTGCTGCCAGGTAGATCTCTTGTTCATTCAACACAATTATTTATTTGTTCATTTTTAAAATTTATGATACTAGAGATTGAACCCTGGGGATACTTTACCACCGAGCTACAACCTTAACCCTTTTTAGTTTTTATTTTGAGCAGAGTCTTGCTAAATTGTCAAAGCTGGCCACAAATTTGCAATCCTCCTGCCTCAATCTCCTGAGTAGCTAGGATTACTGGCAGGTCAACACTGATTGAACTGTTATTCAATATGGGCCTAGCAGGGTGCTAAGAACTTTGGAAACAGTGACAAAGACATAGGGCTGGCTCCTAGCTGGGTGTGCCTGTAGTCCCAGCTACTCATGAAGCTAAGGCAAGAGCATTGCTTAAGCCTGGGAGTTTGAGGCCAGTCTGGGCAACATAATGTGATTCTGTCTAGGAACATGGGAGAGAAAATTGTGAAAGGTGAGGCTGGAGGGAGAATAACTTACACAATACAGTAGAACAAGATCCATTACATTATTAATCATAATTATGAGCCATCAGTTGATTAAATTAATATTAATTTGCATTACTGGTCCTGATAACTTTATAATGACCAGATCTAACTGGGAGTTTTATGGTTTAGAAATGAGGTATCCCCCAAAAGCTCACGTGATTACACATGAGCAAGAAAATTCAGAGGTGAAGTGATTGGGTTGTGAAAGCCTTAACCTAATCAGTGTGTTAATCCCCTGATAGGGATTAACTGGATGGTAGCTGTAGGCAGGTAGAGTGTGGCTGAAGGAGGTGGGTCATTGAGGGTTTGCTATTGGGGTATATATTTTGTCCTTGTTGAGAGGAGCCCTCTCTCTAAGGTGCCAGGTCCTGAGCTGCTTTCCTCCTCCATGATGTTCTCCCACACCTCAGGGCCCAGAACAATGGAGTTGCCATCTATGAACTGAGACCTCTGGAACTGTGAACCTCCAAATAAACTTTTCCACCTCTAATTGTTTTTGTCAAGTCTCTTAGTCACAACAGCAAAAAGGCTGACTAAAATAGGCAGCAAAAGAATAATACATAGGTGCAGAAGCCAGGCATGGTGGTGTGCATCTGGAATCTCAACTACTTGGGAGGCTGAGGCAGGAGGATCACTTGAGCTAAGGAGTTTGAGGCTGGCCTGGGCATCATAGCAAGACTCTGTCTCTAAGCAGGATAAAGAAGGTAACTCCAGGGCTGGGGGTGTGGCTTGGTGGTAGAGTTTATGAAAGCACAAAGCCCTAGGTTGGATCCTCACACTACAAAAAATAAAAGCACCTTTGGAAGTGAAATTCAAACCTCTTAAAGATGCCTCCCCAAAGAGCGACATGATGCAGCACTGTTGCTAACTTGAGTATTCATGTATTTTGGGTTTTTAAAAATGTTTTTATTAGTGCATTTAAAATTATACATAATAGGTTCATTTTGACATAAGCATATATGCATAGAATATAATTTGCTTCATTTCAGTTTCCAGTGCTTTCTCTTTCCCTCCCCTTCTCCCTCTCCCTGTTCCCCCTGCTCTACTATACTGATCTTCCTTCTACTTATTGTTTTTTTAAAAATACTAAACAGTGGAATTCACTGTGTATATTCATATGCCCCCTTTTGCTGTAGCATCCACATTTGACCCTTGACTTTCTGAGTCTAGCTTGATATTCTCCAGTTCCATCCATTTACCAGCAAATGCCCATAATTTCACTCATATTATGGCTAAGTAGAACTCTATTATGTATACATATAAAATTTTCTTTCTTTTTTTTTTTTGGTACCAGGAATTGACCCAGGGGCACCTAACCACTGATCCATATCCCCCAGCCCCTTTATATATATATATAAAAAGACCTTTTCAAAATTAATTTATTTTTATGTGGTGCTGAAGATCGAACCCAGGGCCTCACAAGGGATAGGTGAGCACTCTACTGCTAGGCCACAACCCCAGCACCCCTCCGCCTTTTTATATTTTATTTAGAGACAGGGTCTCACCGAGTTGCTTAGAGCATTGCTAAATTGCTGAAACTGGCTTTAAACTCCTGCTTTCGATTTCCAAACTGCTGGGATTACAAGTGTGTGCCACCAAGCACAGCTCACATTTTCTTTATTCATTTATCTGTTAACAAACACCTGGGCTGGTTCCATATTTGGCTATTGTGGATTGCATTGCTATAAACATTGATGTGGCTGTATCACGAGAGTATGATGATTTTAGTGGGGGTGGATCCCACAAAAATAGAGGGGAGATCAGTGGAGTAGAGGAAGGAGATTGAAGGGGAGGGAGGTGGGACAGAGAAAGGGAGAAAATGCAGAATGAAATTGACCTAATTAAGCACCCATGAGGTTTGCAGTGCAGGATGTAAGTTTGGGGCTGGGTTTCAGCAAACAATCTCTGTCTGTCTGTCTGTCTCAGTACTAGGGATTGAATGCTGAGTAGTAGTACAGAACACTCTCTACCACTGAGCTACATCCTCAGCACTTTTTTTTTCCTTTTTTAAAATTTGAAACAGGGTCTCCCTAAATTGCTGAGGCTGACATTAAACTTGTGATCCTCCTGCCTCAGCCTCCCGAGAAACTGGGATTACAGGTGTCAACCACCATGCCCTCTCAATTCCACTTTCTTAATCCATTCTAGCCCCTTTGAATGCAAGGTTCTCACATGTGTGACAAAGATTTGATTCAACCATTTGAAGAGACAGTTACAATTGTCCTTTCACACAGGTTTTGTGTTTGTGGATTTAATAAACTATGAATTGGGGACTGGGGTTGTGGCTCCGTGGTGGAGCACTTGCCTGGCATGTGTGAGGCCCTGGGTTCGATTATTAGCACCACATATAAATAAAAAAATAAAAAATCCACTGGCAACTAAAAAATATTTTAAAAAAATAAAATAAAATATGAATTGAAAATATTTGGGGAAAATTGCATCTGTACTAAACGTGCAGACTTTTTCTTGCCATTATTTCCTAAACAATATAGGATAACTATTTACATAGCATTTACATTGTATTAGGTTTGAGTAATCTAGAGATGATTTAAAGTATAGGGGAGGAGGCACACAGTGGCACATGCTTGTAATACAAGGAACTCAGGAGGTAAGTCGGGAGGATTGCAAATTTAAGGCCAGCCTGGGCAACTTGGTGAGACTCTTACTAGGAAAAAAAAAAGGCTGGGGATATAGCTCAGTGGTAGTGTGCCTCTGGGAACACAAATTGGAGGCCAGACTCAGCAATTTAGTGAGACCCCCAGCAACTTACTAAGACCCTGTCTCCAAATAAAACAAACTCAGTGGTAAAATGTCCCTGGAGCCAGGCACAGTGACACACGCCTGTAATCCCAGTGGCTTGAGAGGCTGAGGCAGGAGAATTGTGAGTTCAAAGCAAGCCTCAGCAATTTAGCGAGGCCTTAAGCAACTCAGTGAGACCCTGTATCTAAATAAACAAAATGAAAAGGGATGGGAAAGTGGTTAAGTGCCCCTGGGTTCAAGTACTGGTACTAAAAAAAAAAAAAAAAAAAAAAAAAAAGTGCCGCTGGATTCAATCCCCAGTATCAAAAAGGGTCTTGAGTGTCCTCAGATTTGGGTACCAGTATGTGAGGATGGTTCTGGACCAATCCCCCGTAGACAGGGAGAGATAACTAGCAGAGCAGTTAAGCATATGGTTTCTGCCATAAGACTGCTTATGTTCAAAACTTCCACCTTCTCACCCATAAAAGGGGATAATAATTACATTAACTTCATAGGGTATGTCATAAGGATAAAATGAAATAGAACATTCCCTGGCAGATGGTAATTCTATTGAGCATTAGCTGATCCTGGCCAACAAGAATGTGACTAGCCCATGATGGTTTCCAAATCCATATTCTCTAAGTCCTATTGCTTAACAGAAGTACTTAGGACATTCATAAAGCAGGGACAACAACCAAATTGTTTTGGAAAATAATGTGATAATTGATATTTCAAAGAACTCCAGCAAAGTTAGTCATCACAGGAAAAATCAGAACTTGGTTAGACTTCCTTACCCTTTTTACAGTTTGGTATAATTTTTCCTGTGAGTCACATAATGGTAGTGGTAGTATTGAGAGGGGGAGGGGGGATATAGAGTCAAGGTAAAATCCATATTCTTTTCAGTACTTTAGAGCCCCTAAACCTTGGTCTCAGATAATTCCATTTGAGCCTTTCATCAAACCTGTGAAGGAGATATAATTTACATCCTTCTTTGGAGAAGTGGAAAATAAGGCTCACAGAGGTCAAGAGATTGGTCCAAGTTCACAAAACTAATAAGGATGAGGCCAGATAGGAACCCAGACAGTCTGATGTCAGAGCTTTCCATGAGGTGAGGAGTTGGTATTTGTGGTTCTGGAAGAGGGTTTCCTTAGAGCAGGCCTAATGGCCCCAGGTAAGGGGGGATACATGCTTTCATGTTTCCTGCAGTGAGTAAGGGGCCCCTGGCAGCAGGCTCCAGGCTAGAGTGATTCAGGCCAGAATGCAAAGATGGCTCTCAGAGTCTCTCTGCCTTGGGGGCCATAAGTTTGCAATTAGAGTGTGTATGGCTAGAGGAAGGAGGTCTGTCCTGGCCAGTAGCCAAGCCAGATGTTTGCTGTGTGATTCCACACAGCACAAACCTCAGTAACTCCTCAGAGTGCTAGGAGTTCTGTGTACCATAGTTACAACCAGCTTCATCCTATAACTCAAAAGGTTTCAAAGGTCCTCTGGGCCAGAGTTGGTTCAAGGCAGAGACAGGGACCACCCCTCCATAGTGGGGTCCCTTTCCTTTCACATGACTTTCTTTCCATCTCATGCTGTCCACACCCAGATGCTCCCTGTCCTCCCCTAGCCTTCCCCAACCCCAGGACTTCCACTAGGCCTGCCTAGCCACTGGCTTTATTTCTTCCTGCCTGTTGTGAAGGATGGTCCCCTTTGTACCTCTTCTCAGCCTAAGGAAGCCCTGCCCATCCATCATAGCCCCCTTAGATCTTAGTTCTGTTGTAATGCTTCTCCAGCTTTCCCCAAAAAGGAAGTTTAAGGAAGCAGCAAGTGCTCAGGGAGCACTATTGTGTGCTAGCTGTGGAGCTGGGAGTTCTACATAATCACCTTATTAACTTTACACAAGCCACGGTGGTACACTTTTGTAGTCTCTGAAACTCTGGAGGCTGAGGCAGGAGGACTGCAAATTCAAGGCCAGCCTCAGCAACTTAGTGAGACCCTGACTCAGAGGAAAAAAAGTCTTCCTAACAGCTGTGTAAGCTCCTACAGATGAGGAAACTCAGGTTGAGAAATGGGAAGTAACTTGCCTGAGGTCACACAGCAAGGGGCAGGGATGCAGCACAACTTAACAATGAGTCCCTATGAACTTGAACTCTATTTCATACCATACAGCCTCCTTCAAGACGCTTTCCTCCTTGATCATCTCCCACACTTCTCCTTTCATCTCACTCCACCCCTATCAAATCCCTCAGTAAATACTGAGAGTTCCACCTTTAAAAAATATCCAGAACCCAACACTTTCACCATCTCCATAGCTGCCACCCCAGTCTAAGCTCCCCTCACCTGGATTAGTGCAATAGCACCCTAAGTGCTCCTTAATCCCTAGGGTGTTTTTTTTTTTTTTGTTGTTGTTGTTGTTGTTTGTTTTTTTGGTTTTTTTTTTAGTTTTTTTGTGGTGCTGGGGATTGAACCAGGGCCTTGTGCAAGCAAGGTAAGCACTCTACCAACCGAGCTATATCCCAGCTCTGCCCCTAGTGTTCTTAACTGCTTTCCCTGCCTTTCACTACTACCCCTACAATATATTCACCATGAAGAAGCCAAAAGGATCCCCCTGCACTGGGGATGAAACCCAGGGCCTTATGCATGCTAGGCAAGTGCTCTGCCATAGAGTTATGACTTCAGAACATTGAAGATTTTTCTTTTTTTAGACAGGATCTTTTTTTTCAAACAGAGAGAGAGAATTTTTTAATATTTATTTTTTAGTTATCAGCGGACACAACATCTTTGATGGTATGTGATGCTGAGGATCGAACCCGGACACATGTCAGGCGAGTGCGCTACTGCTTGAGCCACATCCCCAGCCCTAGACAGGATCTTGCTAACTTTTCCAGGCTGACCTTGAACTTGTGATCTTCCTATCTTACCCTCTTGAATAACTGACATTACAAGTGTGTACAACTGTGCCTGGATTGATTTGGGATGATCCTTCTGAAGCCAGGCATGGTGGTACATATTGTAATCTCAGCTACTCCAGAGGCTGAGGCAGAAGGACCACAAATTCCAGGAGAGCTTCAATAATTTATCAAGACACTGTCTCAAAATAAAATAGGGCTAGGGCTGGGGATGTGGCTCAAGCGGTAGCGCGCTCGCCTGGCATGCGTGCGGCCCGGGTTCGATCCTCAGCACCACATACAAAGATGTTGTGTCTGCTGAGAACTAAAAAATAAATATTAAAAATTCTCTCTCTCTCTCTCTCTCTCTCTCTCTCTCTCTTTAAAAAAAAAAACAAAAAAAAATAGGGCTGGAGGTGTAGCTCAGTGGTAGAGCACTCGTCTAGCATATCTAAGGCCTTCGTTTCCATCACAACAGAGTGGTTGGGGAGACATACAAACCTAAGCATGTCATTTCTCCATCTTAAAATCTGGCAATGGCTCTTGTTTCATTTGTAGTATAAACTCCTATGGTGGCCCATATGACTGACCTGCACGATCTGTTTCTAGTACGTTCCAATTGTCTCTTGCTTACTCGGCTCCAGCTACCCTGGACTGTTGTTGTTCATCCAACATACCAGAGATGTTTGCCTCAAGGCCTTTTTACTTACTGTCTTTTGCCTAGAACTTTCTTGGAAATCTGTCTGTTTTGCTCACTCATTTCTTTCAAGTTTTTGTTAGGTCGGTGGTGGTGACTTAGTGGCAACTTAGAACAAAGCAGCCCGCTTTGGAAAAGAACATCAATCAGATGCCTGCGGAAATGCCTGTCAATCAGCCAGATCTCCTGACTAATGCCTGTCAATCAACAGGACCCCCCTGGCCAATCCTGGAGTTCAGCCAACTCCCCTGACCAACTCCAGGGGGGCAAGGGACCCTGGAAACACCTTTTCCTGTCCCAAGCCCTTCCCTTCCTGCTGTAAGCTCCATAAAAGTCCAGTCCAGTGGAGCTTCCCGGTTTCTCCTCAGACCCTTCCCCTCTCCCCTCTGTGTGTCTGAGTTCCCACAGGGAGTGATATCTCAATAAAGCCTGTTCAGCGGTCCTTTTAAATCTGCCTCCTTTGGCCATTGCCTGCCCCGACTGATCTGACAGTTTTCATTCCAATGATATCTTCCCTATGAAACTTCTCCCATCATCTTGTCTAAATTTACAACCCAGTTTCTATTTTCTTCTTTTTTAATATTTATTTTTTAGTTGTAGTTTAACACAATACCTTTATTTTATTTATTTATTTTTAAAGATTTTTTTAGTTCTAGATAAACACACAGTATCTTTATTTTTATGTGGTGCTGAAGATTGAACCCAGTTCCTCACACATGCAAGGCAACCCTTTACCACTGAGCCACAGCCCCAGCCCTTAAATTATTTATTTATTTTTAATATTTATTTTTTAGTTTTCGGCGGACACAACATCTTTGTTTGTATGTGGTGCTGAGGATCGAACCCCGGCCGCACGCATGCCAGGCGAGTGCGCTACCACTTGAGCCACATCCCCAGCCCCTAAATTATTTATTTTTATGTTGTGCTGAGGATCAAACCAGAACCTTGCATGCACTAGGCGAGCACTCTACTGCTGAGCCACAACCTCAGTCCCTTATTCTTTTTGAAGTACTAGGAATTGAACCCAGAGTTCATGCATGCTCAGGCAAGCACTCAACCACAGAGCTACATTCCCAACCCAGAAATATGGTTAAACATTATTTCTAGTTGTGTCTGTGAGAATGTTCTGAGTGATATTACCTTTTGAATTGATAGGACTCAGTGGTGTGTCTCAGTGGTAGACTTGCTTGCCTGAGAAGTTCAAGGCCCTGGGTTCCATCACCAGCACTGAAACAAACAAAAACATCACATTTAAATTGGTAGACAAGGGCTGTGGATGTGGCTCAAGCGGTAGCGCGCTCGCCTGGCATGCGTGCGGCCCGGGTTCGATCCTCAGCACCACATACCAACAAAGATGTTGTGTCTGCCGATAACTAAAAAATAAATATTAAAATTCTCTCTCTCTCTAAATAAATAAATAAATAAATTGGTAGACTAAGTAAAGCAAACCACGCTACCCAATGAGAGTGAGCCTCATTCAATTCCTTGAAGGCCTGAATACAACAAAAGGCTAAGTAAAAAAAAGAATTCTTTCTGTCTGCCTGACTTTAAACTGTGACAACCATCCATCTTTCCCTATCTTTGAAGTTGGACTCACAATGGAACTATACCATGGATTCTCCTGGGTTTACAGCCTGCCAAGTGCAGATCTTGTTCTAAGCCTCTCAATTACTTATAGTGTGTGTGTGTGTGTGTGTGTGTGTGTGTGTGTGTGTGTGTACTTCTTGTTGGTTCTGTTTCTCTGGAGAATCCACATGAACATACCAACTAACACTGTTTTTTTTTAAATTTGTTGGCTCCTCCATTTTTAGGTAAATTTCACGAGGGCAGGGATTCTTATTTGCTTTCTTCATTGTTGTATCCTTTACAGAACCTCAGGCATATATTAGATGCTTAATAAACAGTGGTTGAATGAATAAAGGCCCTTATGTTTATACCTTGTCTCTGTGTCTGACTCTCTCAGGAGTCTGTGAGCCACTCCTCTACTGGAGCTGTGATTCCCTAGATTTGCATTCTCAGTGCTGAGAAAAGTGTTCACTACCAAAGGTGCTCAGTAAATATTGAATGAAATGCCCTGATATAATTCCTCCAGAAGAACATTCCAGTTTCCAGAACTAAACAGGACAGAATCCTCTTCAGTCCTGATCCAGAAAGACCACTTCTCTGCTTTCCCCCACCCGTAGCCCAGGCAAGGCCACTTGTGCAGGCGTGTCCACCTCCTTCCCTTCCTGATTCCTTTCTTCCTCCTCACTCCACCCCCTACTCACCTGCCTGTGTACAGGCTATTATCTGGGGGTGGTAATTATTGCGAGTAAATTGGAAGTTGTTTTGCACAGGGTTATGTCTCACGCAGATCGATTTGTACGCTTCCTGGGCACTTGTGACACTCCAGAAATACCATAGCAACGGCCTAGGGGCTGGCGGGCTCAGTGACTGCAGGAAATCTAGCAGGGAGGTGCGGCTCTGCCAGGACCCAGGTGCGGGCAGGGCCAAGGGCACTGTGTCGCAGGGAGGCCACAAGCCTCCTTGACCTCCACCTCTCTGAGCTGTGATTTCCCCAGAGGTGACACAGGAGTAATAACCTGTACGAAAGTTGTTGAAAAGTTTGTAAACTGTAAAACCGGGGCCAGCTAATATTAAAACAGACTGTTATTACAATAACTATTCTTTTTCATAATATTGCCTTCACTTCCACTACTCCCAGCCTGTCTCCCTCTGCCAGCCTTGCCCCCACCCTGAACCAGAGCTTGCCAGATTCCCGCCGCTGGAGCTGAGTTCCTGCTGGCCCTCCTTTATTCGGTGCAAAAATCGCTGCCCCTGGGACACCTTTTAGGGACGAGACCCACAGAGACACAGCAAGCTCATCCTGCAGGGGCGAGCCACTGATTAAATTATATTCATTCTGCCTTTCCGTCATTCAGATTGGCTGGGCCAGCTGGAATTAGTGACAAATTTGAAGCAGAGAATATTGACAAAGAAAGGTTGTTTTATTACCTGCAATGACTCACTATAATTCAAAGGCAGCTTCCTGAGTCAAAGAGAGCATTAGTTAGTGAATAGGTAAGACTTTTTGCTAATTGTTTGAATACACTCAAGTCCTTAAAAACAGTTTTGTTCCCTTCAGTGAGTTGAAAAATAACCCTTCCTTCTCCAGCCCCTTCCTCCTTACCAGAAGGCTATGAAAACAAGAAAGCACCATTGAACTATTCATTCATTTCAGCACCTACTATGTGACAGAGCTACTGTGGGCATTGGAGATACAGACTTGGAGCTGACAGGGTAGGGGAGAAATAGGTGACAATGACAGTTTGACTCAGGAATTCCATCCCCACCCCCCATCCCCCACCTGCAATTGAGCAACATTCCCAGCCCAGAGGTATTAATTTGCTTGTTTGGTACTGCTGATTGATCCCAGGGGTGCTTTACCACTGAGCCACATCCCACCCCTTTTTTGAGACAGGGTCTCACTAAATTGGGGAGGCTGGTCTCAAAGTTGCAATCCTCCTATTTCAACCTCCAGAGTCGCTGGGATTACAGGTGTGTGACATCACACCACTTTTTAATAATCTAAGGAACAAAAATCAAAAGGTCGAAAAATATTTTGTTTTAGAGAGAGAGATAGAGAGAGAATTTTAATATTTATTGTTTTTAGCTTTCAGCGGACACAACATCTTTGTTGGTATGTGGTGCTGAGGATCGAACCTGGGCCGCTTGAGCCACATCCCCAGCCCATCAAAAAATATTTTTAACAAAGGTAGGGGGAAACAGGAATCCTCATATATTGCTGATTTTGGGAATGTAAATTTATTCATTCCCTTATGGAAAGTAATTTGGCAGTTTCTATCAAAATAAAATGTTGGGTACAGTGGTGCTCACCTATAATCCCAGCGACTCAGGAGGCTGAGGCATGAGGATTGCAAGTTCATAAGCCAGCTTCAGTGATTTAGGGAGGCCCTAAGCAACTTAGCAAGATCCTGTCTCTAAATAAAAAAAATAAAAATAAAAGGCTAGCGATGTGGCTCAGTGGTTAAGTGCCCCTGAGTTCAATCCCCAGTACGGTGGGGGGGGGGAGGAACACACTTTAAGCCAACAATTCTACTTTTAGGAAATTATCCTCCAGATATACATATTCACAAAAATGCATGTACCAAGATATTTATTGTCACTGTGTTTATAATATCAAAAGACTTTAATAGGGGACTGATTAAATAAAGTACATTCTTACATTGGGATACATGCAGCCATGAGCTTTGTTCTTTTTTTTTTTTTTTAAGAGTGAAAGGAGTAGAACTTATTTAAGTGAGAATAAAAGAAGCAGATCTCTCACTGGGCAAGAGGGAACATTAGCAAATTTCCCTTAAGGGAACTCTTGATTCTTTTTCTTTTAATTTTAAAACTCAAGATGAAATTTATGTAACCTAAAATTTACCATTTTACCATTTTAAGATATAAAATCCAATATTTTGATATAATGTTTTAGATATATAGTTAGCATCTACCCTCATTCACCTTCTGTCCCCACCTGTCTACCTCTACTTGTGATGGTGGAGAGGACTTTTTTCTTTTTTTGTACTGGGGATTAAAGCCAGGGACATTTAACCTCTGAGCCATATCCCCAGCCCTTTATATATTTTATTTAGAGACAAGGTCTCACTGAGTTGCTTAGGGCCTTGATAAGTTTCTGAGACTGACATTGAACTCACAACATCCTACCTCAGTCTCTCCAGTCCTTGGGATTACAGGCTTATGCTACTTTGCCTAGCTATGGAAGGGCCTTTTTCTGATGGGCACTTTTGAAAAGTCTCCATGTCACAGGAGGCTAAGAGGGTTCCTTGCCAGGGAAAAGTATTGGTAATGGTCTCAGTGGTTCTGGCTGCACATTAGCATCAATTGGGGACAGATTTTATTGCCATTCTGGGGATCAAGCCCAGGGCCTTGCACAGAGTTGGGGAGACTTTTTAAATGCCCTTACTCAGACCCTACTTCTAGGCATTTGTATTTAATTAGTCAGAGTTTGTGACCTGAGTGTAATTTTTAAAAACAAGGTATGAGCTACAACACATTAAAATACATAGGTCTTAAGCTCATGGTTCAGTGAATTGTGACCCCTAGGTAACTACTGCCTCAATAACATCAGAACATTTCCATTGCTCCAGTCAACTTCCCCACCCTTGCCTGAGGCAACCCTCATTCTGATTTCTATTATAGATTCATATTGATTGTTTTTGAGCTTAACATAAATGGAATCAAGCATCTGTAACATTTGAAGATCAGCTTCTTTCACTTAGTGTAATGCCTTTAAGATTCATCCAAAGGCATATTTTTTTCTGAGTGGCATTTCTTTGTATGGTATCTTCGTCTGTTTTCTGTTGCTATAACAGAATATATGAGATTTCATAAATTATAAAGAAAAGAGGAGTCTGGAAAGTCTAAAAGCAGGCTGCCAGCATCTGCTCAGCTTCTGGTGAGGAACTTGTGCTGCTTCAATCTCATGGTGAAAAGTGGAAGGGCAACTGGTCAATATGGAAGAGACAAAAGCTGAGGGGTAGCCTTGCTTTATGTCAAATCAATTTTGTGGTAACTAATCCAGTCCCATGAGAGCAAGTCTCACTCCCTCAGCACTGATCCCTTCATGAGGGCAGAACCCCATGGCCGAAATGCTTCTTAAAGGCCCCACCACCTCTCAACACCATTATATTGAGAACCAAACCCCAACATGAATCTCAGTTGGGACAAACCATTGTATATGGGTATACCAGTTTATCCATTCACACATTTAGGGACATTTGGGTTGTTTCAAGATTTGGGCTTTTAGGGATCAAGCAGCTACAAATATTATTGTATCAATCCCCTTCCTACATTTCCTTTTTTTGTGTGTGTGTACCATGGATTGAACCCAACCAACAGTACTTTACTACTGAGTTGTATCACCAACCCTTTTAATTTTTTATTTTGAAAAAGGGTCTCACTTAAGTTGATAAGGGTCTTGCTAAATTGCTGAGGCTGACCTTGAACTTGTGATTCTCCTGTCTCAGCCTCCAGAGTAGCTGAATATATGGGGCACTACTAGCTGAGACTCTCTGCTTCTATGGATCCCCAGAACTTCCTCCCAGAAACTATGTCTAGGGTTGGTGTTTAAATCTATGTGCATGCCCTTGGTTGCTGGGGATTTTAGGAGTGAGGGATGCCTTCTCAGTCTTCTTCCTGTGTCTGGTTTGTCAGATAGC